GTGGGCAGGCCCTGGCACAGGTGCCCAGAGCAGCTGTGGCTGCCCCTGGATCCCTGGCAGTGTCCAAGGCCAGACTGGATGGGGCTTGGAGCAGCCTGGAACAGTGGAAGGTGTCCCTACCCATGGCAGGGGGTGGAATAAGATGACCTTGAATCCTTCTAGGATTCTATGATACTTGGACCACTGTATCTAGAGTCCCTATAAACAAATTATTAGAATAGAACATAGATGACCTAATGGAGAATATATTGTGAAACTGGATTTTTAAATGATGATTATTGTTCTTTCAAAGAAAAAGCAATTACTACATAATACTACATTAGAACCCATAGCACATGTGCAGCTAAAAGAGCATGCCCTGGGTGCAACTGAAAGTAAGCTCTCAATAGGTATTTGACCTGATTTCAATCCGGTCATAAATTATATAAAAAACTGAGTTAATAGAAAACTGGAGGCCAGTACAGATGTTTCCATGGTCTCCTGCAAGCATTTATTTTAAACAAATAAAAAATTTCTCAGTATCTGAGAACCTGAAAGTCAAGCTGGTCAAACTGGTCTGAATTCCTCACTCAAAACTAACAAACACAGAAGGAAAATAAGGGATGTTATTAAGTGAAAATGGTTCTTTTTCTCCCTTTTAAAATGAACACTAACTATTAACTGGGACAACCTGTCCTGCTCTGTGTCAGTGAGTGACTGAATGTTCCTGCCAGATGTGAGGTGAGTCAAAGACAGACCTGTGGTAATCTGCTTGTCAAGTGGAAATGCCCATCTGTGCTCTGGGGTGAGGTGTGTCTCACTTAGCACCGTGCATGGAGAGAGAACTTCACCCAGGGGATGAGCATCTTAGCTTTCGTTCCTTAAAGGAGCAGTTCTAGTCAAAGGCTTGATTGAAGTCACAGTCTGAGGTAACACCTTCGCTGCCTGTCAGTTGAAATGTGCTATAATTTCCAATGCCATCTGCATACCAGTCAGCTCTTGAGGGTGACTCTACTTCTAGCTTGTTCTGATGATGGTTGATGATCCAATATTCAGGTAAACTGAAACTGTTCATCTTTTTCCATGCCCTTTAGTAATGAAGCACACTGATGTAGTAAGCTGTGTGGGTAGAACAACCTCCTTATGTCTGTGTCTACTGGCTTGCACAGGCTGAAAGAGGTGAGCAGAAAAATCAACAACAGCTTTCTGCCTTGGGTAAACTGAGAAAAGTAGAGGCAACCCCATAAAATAGCTTTTCACAAGAGAAGGAGAAGGTTGGAGGGGACCACAGTCAGCCACCTGGTGCTCCTGCTCAAACAGAGTCATTCTAGAGCACAGGACTGTGTCCACAGACAGCTCTGGAGTATCCCCAGTGAGGGAAACCCTCTCTGTGCAGCCTGTTCCATTGTGAGGTCCCCTGCCCAGGACAGGGGACCTTTCCTTATGGAAAGGTAGCTTGTAGGTAACTGTTCCCAGTGCTGAGGGCTTTGGGTAGATGGGAGAAACAAAGACTGCATCAGTCTGTACTTTGGGTGTCATCCCAGTCCCCCCTATATGCCTGCTGAGCATTCCTCACCCATGAGGCATGAGCTTGGGACAGGGGGCTGGCTCAGGACTGCTTGAGCACAGGGTATGGGAGAACTGGGCACTGGATCCCTCTGTGGCTATGTGTCCATTGTGGTCATTGACACTGGGGAAGGCTGGAATGGCTGCTCCCGATGGCTGAGGAAGAGTGCTCTGTGTGCTGGGCAGCATCCCTCTGCCGGGACGGGCCATTGTTTCCTGCCATGGAGTGCTAGATCAGACTGGGGCTAGTCTCAGAGCTGCCCACGCTGTGCCACACTGCTCTGCCCCGTGGTGCCCCGTGCTGTGACACCTCTGCTCAGCTCACTCACCTGGAGATGTAGAGCAGGCAGAGGGCAGCATGGAAAAAAGGTCAAACAGCTATCTGAGAAGAAGCATTTTCTTTCCGTTTTAGAATATTAAAGATCATCATGTAACAGACTCAGAGCACTTGATAGTGGATCACAATTAAGTTTGTGACCTGCAAATTATTGCTAAATTTTCAGTAGACAAATGGACACAGGAAGAGCCCTGGTACAATGTGGCACTGGACAGCACAAAAACTCAGCTGTTAGAACAGGTGTTGTTTCATCTGTGGAGCCCTGGGAAGGGGTCAGGGGACACCGGTGCAGCCTGGCAGTGCTCGTGTATCCTCCTGAGTTAGGGGTGGGATGCTCTCTACACCTGAGGGTGTCCCTCTTTCTTCTGGCAGGGCCTGGCAGACAGGGAAATCCAGTCTCCTTTTCCCCCCATATTTTTCTTGATTGTGGGTTTTGGGGTTGATATTTGGTCAGCTCTAGAATATTCCCATTTTATCCTGTCCACCTGCAGAGTGAAATGCTGCCAGCTACATTTAGCCCTCTCATTACCCTGAATCTTATTCATTTTCTACATGGTGGTGGGAATTTCTGTTACTCTGAAGAGAGTTTTAGGTCATTTTATGTAATAAGTAGGAGAAAGTGTCAGAGCTCTTCACCTTCCCTTCTTTTCTCCTGGTAATTGCAGACTGCTCTCTACCGAATCTCCATGTGCAGAGAGGTGCAGAGCCCAGCACACAGGATTAATATTCAGGAATTTGGGTTTCTATACAGCACACAAATCCATGTTTCATGCCACAATTGCAACTCCTAGAAATATCACTGATATTTGAACACTTCAAAAAGCAAAACCACTGAAAGATCAAATACATCCATTAGGCTGAATTGTTAGTTGTGTGATTTGTAAAAATAAGCCACCAGTGATTCTATTGACAATGACTACCCAGTTTCTTATTTTAAAAGGGTTTTTTTTTAAAAAAATTGTTAACTAAAAATTAATTAATTAAAAGAAGAACTAATTATGATTGCCTGACAGTCAACGTCCCTTCCCTCAGAAATCTCAGGGAATAATTACTTAGTAAACCTTCTCTTTTTATTTTTCTTTATTTACTTAAATTTTCATTACATATGGTATGTTTGTATGAACCTAATACTTGAGAAAGGAGCTTGGCAGTAGTGGCAACCAGCGTCATTTTTGAAATTTACAGAGCAGAAATGTCACAGCTGTTACAGGGCACAGCCTTTGGCAAAGCCAGTGTCCCACGTCTGTCCTCACCTAAGGATGGATTACAGAAGTTTGGGTTGGAAGAAATCTTAAAGTCCATCTAATTCCTAACCCTGCCATGGGCAGGGACACCTTCCACTATCCCAGGATGCTCCAAGCCCCGTCCAAACTCGCCTTGGATATTTTCAGGGATGGGGCAGCCACAGCTTCTCTTGGAAACCTTTCCCAAGACCTCTCTATCCTCACAGCCAATAATTCCTTCCCCATATCCCATTTAACTCTGCCCCCTGGCAGTGAGAAGCCATTCCCTTTTGTCCTGGACTTCTAGGCTGTTGCCCAAAGTCCCTCTCCAGCTCTCCTGGAGCCCTTCTTCTCCAGGTGAACACCCCCAGCTCTTCCAGCCTGTCTCCAGAGCAGATGGGCTCCAGCCCTCCAATTCTTTTTGTGGCTTCCTCTATACCAGCTCCAACAGGTCAATATTCTTCTGGTGCTGAGGCCACCAGAACTGGAGGCAATGCTTCAGTTGGGTTCTTTGAACCTAACACAGCACAGATAGGTGTCGAGATCAAAGTTTCCCTCTATCTAGGCTAATTTGAAGTGTTGGTCACAGTGAATGATGGGGTCAATATCCACAGAGTGATTATTGAACTGCCTGGAATAGAGCAAAAACCCAAAAAAGATAACCCAAGGTTCCGAGGCTTGTCATGTGTTGTGACCTGCCATGCAGTACATAGGTAGGCTATGTGGTGTTTGCAGTGGCCACATGCGAGTCGGTCCCTGGTCACATTTTGCATTTGAGGAATGCTAAAAGACGCTGTGTGCAAAGAGCATCCAGTTTCCCTTCAAGTCACCTTCCCTTTGCCTGAAGCCGTGATAATCGGCTGCTTGGCACAGCCACCTCCTGGATCCAGAAATCAGAGCTGAGGCCCGTGCCCTGCACCCATCCCACACCTGTGCGGGTGCTGAGCGCTCGGGGAGATGCTCTGGGGGAGCTGTCTGGGAGTGATGCACTCGGGGAACGCTTTGGGAGGGGTGCCGTGGAGGGCAGGCTCTCGGTGGATGCTCTCGGCGGGATGCTCTGGAGGGGATACGCTCGGGGAACGCCTGTCGTGAGGATGCCATGGGAGGACGCTCTCGGGGGATGCTCTCTGAGGATGCTGTCAGGCCCGCGGGGGCACCTGCCGAGGGGCGGAAGCTGCCGGACGGGGAGCGAGGCAGCGGCGGGGCGCGAGACCCTCCCATTGTCTGCGGCGGGGCGGGGCGGGGGAGCCGGCGCCGAGGACGGGGGGCGGTCGCCCTCCCTCCGCAGCCTCATTGGCGGCCGCCGAGCGCCGGTGTCCTAAATGGGCGCTGCCCTGGAGCGCTGCCATTGACAAAAAAGCGGCGGTGGGGGGGGGGCGTGGTGGGGCTGCCGCAGGGTGTCCGCGGTCAGGGGCGCGGAGCCGCCGGGTGCGGAGCGGCAGGCGCGGCAGGGCCAGCGCTGCGGCGGGGGCGGGCTGCGGCGCAGGGGCGGGCCGAGCCGAGCCGCGGAGCCCCGCACCGGCAACGGCTCCCCCGGCCCCGCCGCGCACCCGGGCAGGCGCACGCCCGGCGGAGCCGCGCCTCCTCCGCCGCCCGCCTTCCTCCGCGCATGGCGCTGAGCGCGGCAGCCCCCAGCTCCGCACGTAAGTAACGGCCCCGACGCGCCTTTGTGCGCGGGCCCTCCGCAGGTGAGGGGCCGCACCGGTCGTCTGGCGCTTTCGGCCGCGCCCCTGCCGGGCACCGGGGACAGGGGGAGCCCGGTCAGAGCGGCCGCGGCCCGGCCCGGGGGCCCGGCTCGTCGGAGCCCCGGGGCCGGGGGAGGTGCCCGGGGGCCGGGCCGGGCCGTGGCGGCGCCTCAGGACTGCGCTCTGCCCCGCGGAGGTGGTGGCGCGGGCGCTGCTCGCGGCGACTCCCCCGGGCCGGGGCGGCGGCGGGCGCTGAGCCCTCAGCGCGGATGGAAAGTGGGGGTGATGCTAGAGCGGCACCTCGGCGGGGCAGCAGAGGTGGCGGCCGTGGCGGGGTTCCAGCGGCTGCCGAGCCCGGCGCTCCCCCGGCCGCGGAGGCTGGCGTGAATATGGATGGGCCCGGCGGTAGCGGGAGCGGGGCCGCCGCGGACACGGACGCTCCTGCAACGCCGGCAGCCTCCGGGGCCCGCCCGCCTCCCCGCGGCCCCGGTTCCAGGGACACCAAGCTGGTCCATCAGCGGTTCCTGCGGAGGAGCGTGGTAGACTCGGACCAGGAGGAGCCTGCCTTCGACCTGCCCGAGGCGGAGCACCAGCGAAGAATCATCCTGCTCCCAAAAACCAGGAGGATAATCGCGGAGCGGGCGAAGACGGGGCAGGAGGCGGCGGACCGGGAGGCTGAGTGCTCCAGGGAGCCGCGGGCAACGCCGGCCGCGGGCAGCGCCGCAGGCGCCGAGGAGCAGAAGGAGCCAGGCAAGGATGCGGAGCGGAGAGAGGCGCAGGATGCTGCCAAGGACCAGGGCAAGGCTAAGAAAGAGGAGCCCGAGGAGGAGGCTGATATGAAAGCGGTTGCCACCTCGCCGGATGGCAGGTTCCTAAAGTTTGATATTGAACTCGGGCGAGGATCCTTCAAAACGGTCTACAAGGGTCTGGACACAGAGACGTGGGTGGAAGTCGCGTGGTGTGAGCTGCAGGTAAGCCCAGCTGATCCTACTGTGCTTTTTTCTGTCTCATGAGCCGGGGACTAAAGGCACCGTGCTGGTGTCATTCAGAGCAGCTCAGCCCTGAGCAGCCTTTATGGTCACCATCGCTTAGAATCCAGTGTCTAACTATAGCGCAATATCCCCATTGGCTCCGGATCCACCACCTTATGTACACTCCTCCCACCTTTAACCCCCTCGGTCCGGCGCCGCTGCCGCCGCGGGGGCCACACGGGACCCGCCTGGTGCAGAGAAGGTCACGCGTGGCTTCCGCGGCGTGGGAAAGGGCGGAGCGGGGATGCTCGGCTCGGCCCCAGCCCTTCTCGGGGCACCAGCTCCCGGTTAAAATGACACCGACCGTCAGTGATTTGAGTGCGTTTGCAGGAGGAAAATTTCCTTTTGTGTTGTGGCTTTAGAAAGGCTGAGGAACTGCTCCCCCCGACCTTCCCTCTCCCCTGCCATGAAATTGTCACTGTCCTGGTGAATCAAACCTCCTAATATACCCCGGTGCTTGCCTTTTTTTAGGCACCATTTTGCAGTACTTTGGTTAGGTCAGAGACTTATCTTTGAGAGACAAAGGTCAAAGACAAATACCTTTGAAAAGACGTATTTTTACATTCAAGTTCTAGATCTTCAGAATGAAGTAGTATCATTCAGTAGTATCTAAAGAGAATGAAGCTTTAGATGCTATCTTTTGCTGTTACCCTGTCTTGGGGTTTGTAGCTTTTGGTAAAAGTCACAGTAGTACATACCTAATTTTTTTTTTTATATTTTTTTTTTTGCTTATAGTGAAGCTTATAGTGCCTGTTGCCTCACTTTTGTTGGCATCCATTGGAATGAGACCTAGCTAAGAGAAAAACCTAATACAGAATTAATATTATTTTATTTTCAGACGGAGTTACTCTGCAACTTAGGTGAAAGGAGGTTTAACTCTTCATTATAATTTGGGATCTTTAAACTTCCATTGGATAGCTGAGCTTTATGGCCTACAAGAGTGCTTGAAACTGACATGGAAATAATGTGTTATTGTATGTCTTAGCTCCTGGTTGGTTGGTTGTATTTTAATGTTGCCCAATCTGTTTGCAAATTACTCTAGGCTGCCTGGGATAGCTGGGGATGGATGTACAGCTACATCTTTATTCTCTGATGATTTCATTACACAACATAATCATAATTCACTGCAACAGTTATTTCTTAATAAGAATTATGGGGAACACTTCTCAGTCTTCATAGTCGTGCATTCCCTGGCTTTTATCAGACAGAGATGCAGAATGGGACACACAGCAGCCAGGTGAGGTATGGAGGGCTGGTGGTGAGGGGCTGAACTCCTATGTCCTCCAGCCTGGGGGTCCTGGTGGTTTGTGGGGAAAGGGGATCTGGGGGATTGTTAAGGGGATTTAAAAGAGAGCTGCTGGAGGAAGGCTGGGGGCAGGCCTGGGCTTTTGTCTGGCTTTGCTGGGAATTGAATCCGGAGTGTGTAAGTCTTCTACTTCAGCAGCCCGAAATCCACGCGGGATAGAGGCTGAGATGCTGCTGGAGGGCAGGTTTGGAGAGGCTGATGCTGCTTCTGTCAGTCCATGCAGCGCAGGCCAGCCCCATCACTGCACAGCCGTAGCACAGACCCAGAATTCAGCATGATGCCAGGTTTTCTCAGAGTGCTCTAGCAGGGGGATCAACATAGATGGATTTTCCACGTGTTTTCTGTAACGGAGCAGCTTTAACAACCAAAGCCTGTCAAATGTATTGGTGAACACTGCTTGGAAGTGCTAGTCTGGATCATGTACACCTAAGGAGGAGACTGGGAAGGGAAAACTGCAGTGTGAAAGCTTTCTTCCTGGTGAATGGCCTTCATATTCTTAATTACACTTGTTTAGGAATTCTTGTACTGACTGCGTGTGAAGAAATCTGTATAATACTTAAATTCCTATTAGTTTTCACTATATATGCTTCAGCCCAAAGCAGATCTTACTGGTAGATATTTTAAATTTGATACAGGATTTGCTTGAGGCTTCTAATTGTGGAAAGAAAACTATTGTTTGGCTGCTTTAGAGAACTTGGTGTGAATCCCTTGGAGGCAGGGGCTGCTGGGTCTCTTTAAACTCTACTGTGTGCAGTTTTGAGTGATGCCGAAGGTAAAGGTGAGTTCGTATGCGACTTTGGAAGCCAGTACTTCTGTCTGGATTGGGAAAGCCTCATTGAATGACAACAGCCTTTAACGACTACAGGATTAAAACCTGTGCCTCTGGACTGGATTTGCATGGAGGAGGCAATGGGAGAAGGTGTGAATGGCAGTATTGTCTCTTTAACTTGTAGAATACTTTCAGTTCAGCTGGGGAATTTTGGGGAAGACATTCAGAGGGTGCTGTCAAGTAAGTCACATTATTCATGGCTGCTTTTATTTATTTATTTTTGGTTTTTTAACTGTGAACTGTGTCAGATCTGCTTCGATTTGTGTTTCTCTGCACAAATTTGAAGTTCCCTATAGGTAGCAGGAGACTGAGTGGAAGCCATCATATCACCATGCTGTTGGAGACACAATGCCTTACTCTGCAGTCTCAGAGAATGCTACACCATCACAACCCAGGCCAGAGACTTTTTGTGGAAAAATTGCTGCAACCTGTAGTATTTTTCTTGTGGAGATGCACTTGTGCTTGTTCCACTTGTTTCCACTTGGGAAATTAAAGTGGACAGTGTTGAGGTTCCATGCAGGCATTAATGCTGTCCTGGCTCAGCGGTTTTTCAGCAACCTTGTGCTGTTGCCTGTGTGTCTTTGTCCATCTGTACAAAGGCCTTGCAAGCTATTCTTATTCAATGGCTTTATTTCATTGAAAAGACGGCTTTAGGGTTCAGAACTGAAGTCATAACTCTGATTAGGGCAGGACCCGAGCGCTAACCAAATGATCTGGGTTTTAGACCTGTCTGAAATGGTGAAAGCTGTAGCTGAATTCCAGCTAGAAAATAAGGCTGTTGTTTCTTCATGAAGCTGAAGTGCTGGAGCAAGATTAGTGTGCCCCTGCAGTTTTGGAAGAGTTTGCATTCCAAGGTTTTCAGCAGCTATAATTAATATTAGTTGATGGTGTACAATTGCTGTGTGGTGGGGCTTTGGCATAACAGTATTTCAGTGTTGTACTCCTAAATAAAGTGTTGGGTCATGAATAAGGAATACAGCCTTTGCCACTCCGCTGATTGCAAGACAGATATTCAGTTTAGTTAGATGAATGGTTTCAAAATGCCCATCATGTTTCCCTTTGGGAATATATAGGGATTCTGCAAAGAGTCAGACCTGGTATTGTGAAATGCAGAGGCCTCATTGTACTACATGGTTCTTTCTTGGACTGTGAATAGCACCATTGTATTTAATTTTCATTTTTTTTAATTGAGAGCTGGGGAAAGGTTGAGTTGTCTAATCCTGCTGTTGCAGGAAGGTGCGAGATGCCTGGTGATCATCACAGTCTTATGCCCCGTATCAAAATTCCAGGATTTTTTTTCCTGAAAAGGGTAGTAACTCCAGGATTTCACGTAGTGTGGTAGTTTGGCTTTTGTTAGTGTCCTTGCTGACTGGCAGCATTCATCTGATATCAAAATAGTAGCAAGTTACTATCTGTGCTGGTAATTTATTGGCCAGATAGACTTTGTAGTGTAAATGAGCAGAATAATTTAGAAAATCTGGGAGAAGAGACAGAGACTATATCTGAAGTCTGCTCACACTAAGTGAACTTCAAGACCAATTTTGTCTGTTTCCAGTTCTTGTGACTGTGACTTCTGTTTAAATGGAAACAATTGGTTTAGCTGTGCTCTACGGTGTCAGTATGAAAATGTTTGCGTTTCCCTGTATCACTGGTATTTGTTAGCAGAGCTGTTGCCCTGGCATGGAGAAGCAGGGCAGGGATATGGTAGTGAACTATTAATAGACTGCTTCTCAAATTCAGTAAATAAAATAGAGCTGGGTCAAGCTTCACATTCTGCTTGTGAATCACACAAGACTCCTTTCTTTTGCTTTGAGCACATTGTGCCTCAAGGTTGGTTGTGTACTCTTAGTTCTGGTGAAACTCTTCATGCTAAATGTGTGGGTCCAGATGCCATAAGAAGAAATTACTTCAAATCAGAGCTAGGTGTAAAGGATAATTCTGGTCCCTTTGGTCATCTCATATCCACAGTTGATGGGGGTGGAAAAAGTTGATGTTGCAAGCTGTCACTGTGGTGATCCTTGCAATTGATATGCAGTCTGACATGAGTGAGGTTGGGGCTAGGGTGTAACAGGTTTAAGGGTTTGGAGGCAATGGTAATGATGTGCTAAAAGATGCTGGCTACTGGAGTTAATGCATTTTGGTAGTGTGAAGGACTAGAGATGCTGCATAGGTTTGAAAGAATGTCTCCTGGAAGGTAGAAGACCCACTGTAAGGGTTAGGTGTTAAAGCATTGTTGAGGAAGGAGGCTCCTGCCTCAGGAGCCTACTGCAGTGGTGCATGTGGGTTCAGTGACAATTGAGAAGTTTGGTTTTTAGATTTGCCACGATGTGGCTGTTGATGGGTAGCAGCAGGACACTTACTTGTGTGTGCCTTAAGCTCTGGACTGGGTCTGCTCGCCAGAAGGCATAAATATGAACTAAGTGCTGATGTGTGATGCCTGGACAGGCCGTAGGTGTAAGGCAAGGGCAGCCAAAGGTGTGTCACACAAGATATGTGACATTTGGCACTCTTACTGGAAGAGGCATCTTCACTGTGCTGCAGCAGGAGGGGCTTGTAGATAGCAGCTGGAGGGTATCCAGAAGGGTCATGTGGAAGCAGAACTGGTTTGCTTCATGTTTAAGTGTATACATATGAAGTTATGTTTGGAAATGTATCTTTTCCCTCAAGAGACACTTGTGGACAGCATGGGTGCTATCCCAGTGTTGATTTTGATGGGTCTGAAACCGAGGTTGGTCAAGAAGGGCAGCAGATGATTTTCCTTTTGGTGTTAAAAAGTCAAATGGAAACAACCTTCAGTCCAAGCAC